ACACTTGCAGATGCAGCAGCCGCCGCCGTCGCAGCCGCAGCAGCAACAACCGCAGCAGCAGATGCAGGGCCAGATGCAGATGCAGCCGGCGCCGCAGCCAGCGCTGCAAGTCCAGCGCGAGCCCCAGCTGGTCAGCGAGCCGCAGCAAGGCCCGAAGCTGCCGCCGCAACGCAAGGCGCTGCCGGCCAGCTTGCGCCCGCAGATGATGCCGACGGCGGTCCGCGTGCAACGGCCTGCAGTGGCGAGGCCGCGGCCGGTCCCCGTCGCCTCTGCCCCCTTCGAGCCCGAGGCGGCGCTCCCGCAGCCAGAGGGGAGGGCGCCCGCCGCGGCAGCCGCTCAGCCGGAGCAGCCCGCCCCTCCCGCCGAGGCGGCGAGCGGCGGCGCGGCGCCGGACAGCTCCTCCTACGACGAGTTCGCGGCGGCGATGAAGCAGCTCGGAGCGCTGCCCTGAATGACTGCGGGTCTTTTTTTAAACCACAAAGAATCAACGCCAGTTCGACGCCTTGTGTGTTCACACAGCTGTTGATACACTCACGCGTGTGATGTCTCCCGAGAGTGCGTCTGGGTCGCAGCTCTGTGTCCTCTGACTCAAAACGAGAGTGCTCTCTGTAAATTACTCTAGGCTAGTCCTAGTGCCAATTTCACTGTGGCACAGCCCGCGTTACAAAACCTTGATTTTGACCATTGCGCGAAAAATGTACCTCTCGGTGCCTTCCAGAGGCAGCTGCGACCCCGCCGAGTGGACGGGCTTGCGCGCCGGAGACGAGACTCGACGCCGCTGAGATCGGAGATCAAGCTCTGACAGGTCGCACGTCGCTCCTTTGACGCCGACGTGACTCACCCGTGCAGATCACATCAGGACACGTTCTCGACGCGCTCGGTACGACGCCTGCGACCCGTCTCGGGTCAGGTGGCACGACGCTCATCGCGCCTACCAGCGCTGCCATACAGGTTGCCACGACGAGGTCGAGCACGCTTCTATACGCTCGCCGAGCCTTCCTTTCCATCCCATAAGGTAGCCTGGGAACGGTGGCGGTCAGAGGCAAAGCCTACGAGGGGTGGTGGAACCACATGTCACGGCTACTGCCGGCTCGACGCCACGATAGCCTCCGAAGGCTGACTTTGCGGCACCATCATCGGACGATGTCGACGAGTTGGGTCGCTCTCGCGGTAGCCGGATGACCTCTCTTCCTAGGAGCATCGGCCATGGCCGCAGAGAGCGCGGGGGAGGGCGCTGGAAGCGACACGGAGCTCCGTTGGAGACGTTTTCAAGATTAGCGTGTCAGAGTGAAATGGCACTGCCCTACTGACTAAAGCCGTACTCTGACGCTGTCTGTGACTCTATTTTCTCTCATCGAGCCCTGCGCCTCTACTGCACGCTGCCTACTAAATGGCCC